GTCTGTCTAACTCCTATTAATATAATAAATCTGTCATTTGTTAGAACAAATTTCTATCAAACTGACACGTATCCTCGTTACCTTGCGTCAGCACGAAAATGTTGCTTTGGTTATGACGAATTAGTAAAGGTCTAACTATCCAGAGAACAGCCCGACAAATAAAATGCTTTGAAACATTTCCGCTAATAATTTCTCCACCAGTCCGCCATCCGGAAGTGCATGTAAGCGTCAACATCATCGCGTGACCCTTAGACGCGTGCATGTTCGCGGTGTAATAATGCAAGAACAATACCAAACGCTATCATTACTGCATGATGTCATGACAAGCAATGATAAAGAGCCACTTTACAGTGATTCTAAAACGATGCTGTGCTTGTTGGATGAGACGGTAGTAGAGATGAGTGTGTGATTAAATCAACAACGTGATCGGTTTCTGACAATCGTTCAATCCCTGTCACTCCACACAAAGTAAACACAAGTACTTTTACTGCTTCTTTTCTCTTAGCATGGGCCAGTTTATGGCTATGGTTTGAAAAGGTTCTAGTATGTAAGCTAGATATAACATATCCAGTGGAATATTGGTTAACTAAGCCTATTTATCAATCATTTTATATAAGGGACAGGCTATTGAGCTGAAAGTTTGACTCAGTATACTTGGAAATAACGTTTTTCTAGAAAAACCCATGTTATTACTTAAAGTTTAGCATAACTTAAGTTTATATCTTACTATAAACTATAAAAAAGTAACAAAAATATCAGATGATGTTACTGAAGGCTTGAAAGGATTACCGTATCATACACGTTAGAATGCCTTTTTTGCTCAGACCTCCAGCTTCTAAAGTGCTGCCATCTAGGGACTGGTCTGAAAGTGGAAAAGTAGAACAGTAGAGCGAATTAACATTGAATGATATTTTTATTATTAAAAACAAATCGTTAGATGCAGCAACTGGTAAACAAAATAATAAAAGTTTAATTAAATATATTAACTGACACATTTATGCTGCAAATTCGATTATATATTGCAACTGAAAATAACTTTTCGAAAAATGCGTGTCAGTTCTCGTAATTTTTAAATCTTAACGCTTAAGGATTTGCTTAACGAACCTAAAGATCTTTTGGTGAATCTCAGTTCTTGCTAGGAACCATATATATATAGTTTGAGTTCATGTTTGTGTTTCTTGCAAACTTGTAATGTCTCGTGACAAACTAACGATCAGGAATATAATCATTTTTATTATTTAAATGTAAAATTTATATTGGTAAAAGTTCTTGGAATATGAAAGTTGGATTCACCGGAATCATTTTTTACAATATTCTAAAATAAATCAGGCAGGGCTTATATGTAATGTTTGTTTTAGATCAAAGCCACTTTGGGCTAGCTGCTGTGTCCATCGTGGGGAATCGAGCCCAGGATTTTAGTGTAGTAAGTCCGAAAAGTTACCACTTTTTTACCGGGGGACAGATTTATACGTAGTAAATATTTACTTAAATGAAGCGCCCTCAGGCGGGCATATAGTAAAAGAAAATGCTGAGTAAAACATAATTTTATCTTGTCAAAATATAAATCTATAGAATCAAAATGACGAAAGTATCCAGTTCTGGTTGTTTCTACTGGTCTTCAGTAGCATCAGTTCTATTTGGTTTCATTTATTTAAAAAATCTAAACTAGCGAAATGACTTAACATTTCAAGAGGATATCGAATGACTTGGGTATTTTTTTATTAATTTATTTATTCACTACAAATCTTTTCATAGATCGATTTAAAATAGTAAGTCATCCATAGTAATGCCCTCCAGTGGCACAGGGTATGTCTGCGGAATTACACGCTAGAATACGGGTTTCGATACCCGTGGTGCACAGAGCATAGATAGCCCATTGTGTAGCTTTGTGCTTAATTACAAACAAGCAAACAATCAATAGTAATAATTTAATCCCCCCCCCTCACCGGAACCTGGTATGGCCTGGTGGTAAGGGCGCAGTCTGCGGGTAGCGGGCTCGAATCCCATCACCGAACAGCAATGGAGGCATTATAATATGATGGTCAATTCCCCTATCTCTTGGTAAATAGTAACCTAAGAGTCACCTGTGAGTGATGTTGACTAGCTGCTTTCCCTCTAGCCTATCACTTCAAAATTGGGAGGGGCTTAGCGCAGATAGCCCTCGAGTAGCTTTGCGCGAAATTCGACAAAATAAATGAAGCAAACTGGCCTTGCGGCGGCTGAGCGGTAAATCCGAAGGCTTATAACGCTAAAAATGTTTTTTCATTTCCTGTGGTGAGCACAACACAGATAGCACATTTGTGTAGCACAAAGTTACGCAACGATCTATCTATGCTGTGCCCAGAACGGTTTTTTATCGTTTTTAGCATGCAGACTTAACGCTGAGCCACTGGGTGCAAATTTCAAAATTAAAAATCAGTTTTTAATGCTAATGAAAAAAATCTCATTAAAAAACTATAAATAAAGTTTTATTGTTCTTATGTTTTAGGAGTTCGCATAAAGTGAAAAATTAGCGATAAGTATTGTTTGTTTTGAATTTCGCGCAAAGCTACACGAGGGCTATCTGCGCTAGCTGTCCCTAATTTAGCAGTGTAAGACTAGAGGGAAGGCAGCTAGTCATCACCACCCACCGCCAACTCTTGGGCTTCTCTTTTACCAACGAGCAGTGGGATTGACTGTCACATTATAACGCCCCCCCCCCCGGCTGAAAGGGCGAGCATGTTTGGTGGGACGGGGATTCGAACCCGCGACCCACAGATTACGAATCGAGTGCCCTAACCACCTAAGCGATAAGTAATAAGAGATTGAAGAAAGTCGCAGAATTATTTATACAAATTGAACACAAAACAAACTATGGTCCACATCAGACAAATAAACGCCTTCAGAATATTAAAAATAAATAAAACAAGAAATGGCGGCACACACCTGACAACACCGAAAAAAACAACTCATTTTATGAATTAAAGATCGGAAAGAAAGCGTAGTGCATTCTATTATCAGGTTGAATACTTTGAATTTATATTTGAAGACAAATTGGTGGTACACTGTCAGGTAAGTGAAGGTTTGTTTGTTTTGAATTTCGCACAAAGCTACTCGAGGGCTATCTGCGCCAAGCCGTCATAATTTTCAAGTGATAAACTAGAGGACAGGCAGATAGTCAACACCACCCACCGCTAACACTTGGGCTTCTCTTTACTAACATATATTAGGATTGACCGTCACGTTATAAAGTCCCCGTTGCTGAATGAACGGGTTTGTTTGGGGGCAGGATTCGAATCCGCGACCTTCAGATAACGTAATTCAACACATTGACAGGAAAATTGGTGACACATTCTGTGAAACTGCCGAATGCCATAGAACACCGTGAATATATCTGAAGAAGTTGATGACACATTTCGTGAAGCTTATAAATGCCACTGAATGAATTGCAGAAGAAACTGGTGGCGACACATCCTGTACGAATGATGGATATCATAGCATAACTTGAATAAATTGTAGGTTAGACTGGTATTTCACTGAAAATCTTAAATCAATGTAAGTAAAAAATGAGTCACATTTTGTCAAGTTACTGCGAGACAAACAAAAGAAATACCCGTGCGAGACAGATGAATAAATGTCGCGAAATAACTTTTATAAATCGAAAAAGGAAGCAAACTATCTTTGAGATAATAAAATAATTTGACGTTTAACAGATAATGTTCACTAACAACAAGTTGATTTTGAGAGACTTAAACTACCTAGGACTCTAACTGGGCGGACGAATTATTCAAGTTAGCAAATAAAAAAAAAATACATTAAAGATTTTATTGGTTAAACGAAAGGCACTAAAGTATATCATGTAATATTATGTACATGACAAATATAATGTGGTTGGAATACCATTATTATACACTCTTCTAATTCATGAAAATCCCCAAGGGACTAGATAAAGAATGTAGTGTTTAAAACTGTAATAGGCCTAGTGTTAATGTCTTATGACAAGTATAATGTGGTTGGAATACCATTATTATACACTCTTCTAATTCATGAAAATCCCCAAGGGAATAGATAAAGAATGTAGTGTTTAAAACTGTAATAGGCCTAGTGTTAATGTCTTATGACAAGTATAACTGAATATCTCAATTAAAACAAAGTTTGAAGCATTATTTTGTTTCTTTTTTAATATGTAATAGTAAGATACACTCTGATCTAATGTAATTTTATGCACAAAATGTTAGGTTTTCATCTCCAAATTTCAAAAAACTAACTGTTTGACTTAATTAAACCAGATAGATAATCTCCAACTTTCAAAAATTAACTGTTTGACTTAATTAAACCAGATAGATAATCTCCAAATTTCAAAAATTAACTGTTTGACTTAATTAAACCAGATAGATAATCTCCAAATTTCAAAAATTAACTGTTTGACTTAATTAAACCAGATAGATAATCTCCAAATTTCAAAAATTAAATGTTTGACTTAATTAATCCAGATAGATTATCTCCAAATTTCAAAAATTAACTGCTTGACTTACTTAAACCAGATAGATTATCTCCAAATTTCAAAAATTAACTGATTGACTTACTTAAACCAGATAGATTATCTCCAAATTTCAAAAATTAACTGCTTGACTTACTTAAACCAGATAGATTGGAAAGTTACCTACTATTTTTATTTTCTCAACAGAATCTCAAAAATCTGTTTTACAAAACCACTGTATATGTGGGACCAGGTTCGAAGAAGTGACTTACCGTGTGATAATTGTAAGAAGACCTGGTTCGCGTGTTTTGTTTTGACTTCGATGGACATATATATATGTATCCATACAAAGGACCTCCACATCCCAGGTGTGCCAACCATCTGTCAGTGATCCGTGGGTCAAATCTAAATCTACGCCTGGAACCACAACAAGATCTATATATATATATGTCTGAAAACACGTGCCCAACCAGGTTGCTGTCTACATTTACAGAGGAAACAACTAATCAACTTCTAACTCGAACTAAAACAAGATATAGTAACAAAAAACGACACTCTTAACTAGCATGGAGTGAAATCGGTCTGCGTTACGACTTAGCCTTAGTTTCTGAAAAATACACACACTTTTAAAGTTTTAATTCTGTGTGTCATAGAGCTGAATCTCCAAAAATTTGTAATTATATTGAAAAGAAACCGGTCACTAATTCGGAATGTCTCAAAAGTTAAAGAAATGTTTTTGCTTTCAACCAACTTTTTTTTTCGCCATAGCGTTAATTTGTTTGGGGATTCTGAGTTTCAACTACTGGGATTTATATGTTGGTTACAACAATGTGTTTCAACAGCTGCAGGAAGCCAGGGAAAAGGAACAAGTAGCGTACCAGAAAAGGGACGATTTTGAAACGTATGCTGAGAAGATGAAAATCGATTTATACGAACTTCGAGAAGAATTTGATAGATTAAAATTTGAGTTTGGTAAAAAAGATCAATCTCTACAAGAAAAAATAAAGAGCTGGTGCAGAATACGGAAGAAGTGAAAAATCTGACCAACAGATTGGTGGAATTGAACAAAAAGTCATCCGAGCTTGAAACATGTGAAAATGAGTTGGTATGTGTATATTTTTATTATAGATATGTATTTTAACTGGTATAGCATTACATTATTATAGATATGTATTTTAACTGGTATAGCATTACAATATTATAGATATGTATTTTAACTGGTATAGCATTACAATATCATAGATATGTATTTTAACTGGTA